GAAAATTTTGCATGAATGAATGAATGAATGAGGGACCAAAGTAATGGACCCCAGTATAGTCTGCCTATAGTAGCTCAGAGCTTCACAGCGACAGAAAACGTGCGCCGAGATCTCTTCCTCTACCCCGCAGCGTTCACACAAGGGATCCTCAGCCACCCCCATCACGTGCAGGTGGCGCCTTAACGGGTTATGGCCAGAAAACAGTCCCACCAGCAAGCTTAGGTTGGCTCTATCCAGAGATAGGCAGAAACGTCGATCTTTAGCACTGGGCCCTTCAATGAGTTCCTGTGCCTGGCGGAGATGTCTGGAGATACTTCTCCATATCTGAGAGTGTAATGTCTTGCAACCCACGTCTCCATATTCCTCATAGCTCTATGCGCGGTCGCTCCTAGAGCTGGCTCAGGACCAACGAGCTTGCTGGCTGATCCAGTCTTCGCTAGAGTGTCCGCCGTCTCATTGCCCCTTATCCCAGCGTGCCCCGGTACCCATATAACGATACCGGATGCCTCGCTGCGAGGCAATCCAGAGCATTAGCATAATCTCAGTATTTTTTGGAAAGGAATCTGCTAAGAAATTATTTAACACTATTTATGAAACACCCTATATAACTAGAAATCTCAAATCACGTATCGACGGATCTAAATGCTCATCTCTAGAATGAATCTGGGTATCTGGCTGTTCATTCCGCTAGAGTTCCGAATGCTTTCATGTCAAACTGCATTTGAGTCCTTATATATACATTTTTCACATAATCTCCGTTCACAAAAAAGTCACACATAGTCATTACCTTTTAAATGACTGAGACCACTATTGCATTCCAAAAATGCCAATTTATTTTCTTATCGGTACTATTCACTATTCACGCGATATCGGAATTGCACAAAATCAAAAGTCTCAAAGGCCGGCAAGACGAGCGAGTTCTGTCCCACAATCTGATGTGACACACAGGAAAATACGCGAATAATTCAAGTTATTCGAAATACTAATAGTGGTTGCGGACTTGGTACATGTCTTTAACGTTAATTCGTGGTACATGTCTCCTTCTGTCAGGTTCTCTCATCGTCGTATCTCTCTAGCCACTTGACATAATATAAACAAAAGAGATGCATCCAAATAAACCATCATCGTTAATACTTATTATCTCCACAAAAACGTTGTCTTCGAAAAAAATGGATAGCCAACATTGGCAAGAATAGCTGAAGCCCCAAGTACTCTTCGCATAGCTTAGACTTTTTATCTGAATTTAAGACAAGGTGAACCATAACAATGGTGGTGTTGTATCACAGAGATTTGATGCAAATTAAGTCCTCATGAGTATTCCTTTTGAAGAACGGCATGTACAAATAAACGATCATCGCTCATCTTGGTAATATCCATTCGAATGCGGTTGCCTTTCGCCGCCGAATTTATTTTTACATACCGCCGCCATCTATCAGTGACCGAACCCAATAAATTTCTGCGTTCCGTTGACCCAAAAAATAAACGACCTCCATCATACTTTATTGCTTTTCATCTCGTATCGCTGGTCGACACACAAAGAAATACGGAATTACGGGAATTATCATAATGCTGCTGGATGGAGAACTCGGAAGTGTCTAGATTTTGTTAACTCTAAAAGAAGCTTGATAACAAAGAAAGGCTGCACATCTCGACCCTCCCCAACCCCTCTGTTATCAAAAATAAGCAACGCGACGACTCCCCCGCCCCCACCAATACTTACGTAATAAAGGGTTTTCCATTAAGGACTTTCTTTTTAAATAAAACGCGAACCATTTGAGATATCTCGAAAATTTTATCACTGGATTGAACTATACTCAAAACATTTATGTATGGAATTCGACCTCGTTCATATGTCCACCACGGGCACGTTCGCAGCGATCGATTCGTTGAACTCAGTTTGCAATGACTCGGCCACACATTTTGACAGAAACGTTCGTTCAATATTGGCTCTAAGCTCCTCTAACGACGCCGGCTTGTTGGCATAGACCAGTAATTTAATGTAGCCCTACAAAAAAAGTCTAGAGGTGTTAAGTCACACGATCTAGGCGGCCATTCGGCAGGACCATTTCTCGATATAACACGTTCACCGTATTTTGATTTCAATTATTTCGATTGTTCCACCCGCTGTGTGGCTTGCGGTACCGTCTTGTCAAAACCACACATCGTTAATGTCTAGCCCATCCAATTGACCAAAAAAATAACGTTGAAACATGTAACGATCTCCCTTGACTGCAACGTGACGGTCATTTTCATCAACAAAAAAAAAATAAAAATGGGCCCAATCACACCACCGGCATGAAAACTACACCATACAGTTATTTTTGTGGATGAAGTGGTATTTCTTGAAGCACATGAGGGTTTTTACCTGACCAATAACGCATGTACTGTTTGTCCATGAAGCCTTGTAGCCAAAAATGCGCCTCATTACTGAAGATAATTTTGCGATGAAATTGGTCATTTCTAGAGTCCCATTCGAGAACGTACGGCGGTTCATATGATCTAACAGCTTCAATTATTGAGTTAACTTGATTTTATAAGGTTGAGGGCCAAGATCTCTCCGCAAAATTCGCCATAGTGTAGTCTAAGCGATGCCCAATTCTTAAGATAGTTGTGGAATCGACGAGTTCTGTTCGTTTGAGACGGAAGCTTGAACGGCAGCAATATTCTCGGCACTTTGATCAACCCGTTGACTCACTGGCACATCCAGCAACGAATATGTAGACTCAATTTTTTTACTATGAATTGCTTGTCTACTGGGACGAGAATCACGGCCAAAAATTGGCATTAACGCTCTTTAAGTTGTAGTCATCGACTCGTAATTTCGGTAGTAAATTTTAATTATTTGTAACCGTTGTTCGATCGTGTACTTCACCATGATGAAAATGTTTCCTTTACTGAACGTTTTGACATTGACAGTTCGGTAATTGATTTGAAGGTGCGTTCACAGCGAACGTTCTAAGTTGTCAAGTCCCTACTGGAAAACCCGATACTAGAATGGTCCCTAATTAACGATCAAATTCAATCTTAATTTGATTTATTTGATCTGAAATGAGTTTTGGTCCTTTCATGGTGGCAGCGGTCGACAACGTTGAGCACAAATTCATCTTCGAGGCTGTGAAAAATCCCATCTCCAGCTATTTTGATTTTCAGCAGAAGGAACAGTTTTAGGTCCACTGTTATTTAATATACAGGGTGTCCGCAAAGTTGGGGTTTTCCTTTTCAGAAACAACTACCCTTGAAATAACAAAGGTAATGTGTAGTGAAACGAGGGCGACCAAGTAAAAAAAAATAAAGGAAAAAGTACTCACTCTCCAGTTGACGAGAAGGGCTAAGTACGTCTCTGCCTGAAATCGAAAGTTATTCACCCCATTACGCGTGAACGTAGATTCATCTGTCACCAATATGCACTTCAAAAAGTCCGGATTATTGTCATGTTGATGCAACAACCACTCACAAAACCGCACTCTTGCTGGAAAATCGTCAGGTTGAAGGGCTTGTACACGTTGGACGTTTGCCACACTTTAGTTTTTGATACTTGCACTTCTCTAGCCACGTCTCTAGTGCTTGTTGAGGGATTCTCGTCTACGCGATTCAGTAGTTCTTCCTCAACTTGCACCATTCGTGGTTGTCTAGGCCTCCCACTGTGCCCACCCCGAAATTCCTCCAAATGGCCCGTATCCCTGACTCTCTGGACCAGGTACACAAATCTGCAGGGCCTTGGATGATGTCGTCTAGGGAAACGATCTACATACACTTGCGACGATTCTGTAGCATTTTGAAGACATTCGCCATAAATTAACAACATATCAACGAGTTCATTATTGGTGTATGAGTGTGCCATTATTTTTTTTTTTGAAACGCAATCGATTATACGAGTTCGTTACCTCTATACGCGTGACCCTTTACCGTCGGTTGAAGGTTGCATACTGACCTGACACACTGACCCCGACCCCCGGCCCAGTTCTGTCGTGTCGGGTTCAGCTAGTAGCCGGTACCAGTCTGGGTTATCGCGGCGGGTCGCGGCTACAGGACGGTATTCATATATTTTTGATGTTGCAGAGCCCTTTATCTCGGTTCCCTTAAGACATTGTTGTATATGGTACTAAGAAAAATTGCTTATGTTTTCAAGATCTACACGTCGTGTAAAGGAAAACCCCAACTTTGCGGACACCCTGTATATATTTAAACGATATTTTCCGAATTAACTGTGTTGACAAAATATCAGTTTTGCAGATAATACTGCAATATTGAAAAATGAGGACTAACTATTCTAAAACACATTTTTATATATATTCTTCAACATTAAATAATCAAAAACTGCAAATTATTACAGTGTCGCACATAAAGTACTTTGGAATTGTATTGGATCCTCACTTACGTTGGGACATCGCTGTCAATTATATTTTAAAGAAAGTTAGATTCGTACCGTACAAAATTAAATACCTTGCGAATATGCTGACAGAAAGGTCTCTCCGTATGTTATAGCATACGAGGGATGTCTTTTAAGTTTTGCATATGGAAATAAAACAACACGGTAGGTAGTTTTAAATGACTTTATTGTTTTTCGAAGTATTCTCCACGAAGATTAACTCACATCTGCATTCGCTCGAACCAATTTTTGAAGAACTTATTCCACTCGTTTGCTAGCAGATCCAAAACGGCATTTTTGAATGCGTCAACTGCTTCTTCTGGTACCTCCTGGAACCTTTGACCACGCAGTCTGTTTTTAATTTTCGGGAAAGTAAAGAAATCGTTAGAACTTAGATCGGGACTATATGGAGGATGGTCCAATAATTCCACGTTTTCTTCCGTTAAATACTGCCTTGTTTTTTCGGCTGTGTGCGAGCATGCATTGTCTGGGTGGAGGATGATTCTTCTTTTGGGGTTGATTTTTCGAAGTTCGGTGATGACTTTTGGCAAACAAATGGTGGTATACCAATCCGCAATCCAATCTTTTTCGAAACGCTTCGAGAACGGATGACTGTTGTTGATTTCTTCACCTTGGAACACCCAAACAGCCGACTGTCGTTTATTTTCTGGTTCATAACAGTAAATCCACGATTCATCACCACTAACAATGCTGTACACATTTTTTGAGTTTCCGGAATTGAAACGGTCAAGCGTTTTTTGACATCAATTAACCCTGGCTGCTTTCTGCTATTCAGTCAACAGGTGGGGTATCCAACGAGAAACTAATTTTCTTACTTCTAATTCTTCATGTAAATTTTTTTGAATTGAGGTCTTTGAGATCTTCAAGGACGCCTCAATCTCGCGATATGTCACATGTCTATCTTCAATGATGAGTTTGCGCACAGCATTGACGTTTTCCTGGGTGACTGCCGTTTCTAGTGCACCCACCCTGGGATCGTCGCTAAGACTCAGCGTGGACACTTTTTAATTCTCCATACCAACGGGAAATTGTCGACTGATGTGACGCTTCGTTGCCGAAAACAGACAGTAACTCAGCAAGGCATTCTTGTTGCAACAATTGTCTCTGAAAGTTGTAATAAATTATGGCGCGAAAATGTTCTCGGTTGAGTTACATTTTTCTAATGACTTGGTGACACCTAAAAATGCACTGTACTGACAATACTTTATCTACTTCGCCCCTTTTTAGTTATCGAAGTCGCAGATCTGCCGAAAAAAGGCCTTCGTCATCTAATCAGCTATCTTAAAACATTGTCGATGCTTAGTTTGCGTTTTTGCTGTTGCTTGTGTATAAGGATTAAATACGTATATATTATTTGTTTATTTGTGTCTCATGATTAATATTTCACATTTCATTTATACTTGCATTATGAAAACAAAGGTTTTCATGCCATATCATTATTATTATCTGTATGTCAAACCGACGGCGACGGGCGAAACAGAACCGAGTTCTGTAGAGAGCAAGTGTGGGCGCCGAAAATGTCCTTTGTAATAACGACCCTTTCAGCTTCTGGCAGGGGTCGTACACGGCCTAATAAAAACACCTATGTAAAATCGCCCCTTTTAATCTTACCCCTAGCTGACTGGGATTAAACGAGAAATATTCGTTATTAAATCAGAATTTATTGACTCCGTGGAACAAATGGGTTATAGCTGGCTTAAACCAGCGAACAAAGGGTAAGGACTAGAATGGTGTTCATTTCAAACAATAATGAACATCCTGGAATACGTAGTTCTTGAGCATTAACAAGTTGACTTGATTACTAACAAGTAATCTGGGGCACATGTATGAAAAATGTATTTTCTATAGTTAGTAGACGCAATGGTTACAGGGTATGAGAAATGCGCAGAGAAACCATTCATGTTCGAAGAGGTCGTGAGTAGCTTTAGTTTTGGTCGCAGGTGCCTTACTATGCATAACATAATAATAGTAGTTGTTCACTCAATATACAAAGAAAACAACATTAGTAAATAGATGGGCCCAATAGAAGGCATTTTTTGTGCATGGACCAACAATTTCAAGCTGTAACTGCAAAATACAAATTAAAAAAAACTTTTTTACTTGATGTCTGAATATATGAGTGTATGAATTTTAGTCCTATATATAAAATGTAGCCACTTTTTCAAATTGCTTTGGAAATAATTTCCGAAATGTAAATCTGTTAGGTCTGTAGGTACCGATTCATAAAATTTTGGCGCGAAATGGAAATATGACCACTGGATTATAGATTTATGTGACTGAGGTACTACTGTGTTGCGTACTCTGTACCTTGTATAACGATTTTTTAATTTTTTGGTCGGTTTTTACAAATTTATGGTATTTACTGTCATACTGTGTAAGAAATAAATATGTCTGATGTCATACATTTGTATATCAGCTTATAATTATTCAATGGGATAATGTTTCCGTTTTTTGAACATCACTTGTAGAATAATTTTTCGAAAAATGTTTAAGCTATGATGTGATGAATAAGCAGCTTCCCATTCTAATACGGGGCTCAATCAGTGTGCGAGGGATGTCTTTTAAGTTTTGCATATAGAAACATAGTAGGCCGCGCGGATCGAACGTCAGTACTGAATCTTAACCTCATTCTTTAGTAAACTTAAATTCAAAGTTTCACAACAATAGCTCATGAGCCGTGTTGCATGCAGACTAATCCTTGCCTCTGGCGCAAAATTCTCTCATTAAAATAAAGCAGGTACCCCGTTGGTGACTTGTCTTTTCACCGATATGGATTGTTTTAAAGTAACTTCCTCAACGTGTTACTGTTACTAGTCATACTGTATGCATTAGAGTGGTGACACTTCCTTAGCAGATCTGCCTTATGCCAGGCGACGGAGATCCTCCAAAATGGTTAGACTTCTGCCTCTGCAGTGCTTTTTTTTTCTCGATATGAAGAAGGCTATGACATCTCCTGTCATTTCTCCCATATGTCTATTCTTCCTACTAAATCAATATGTATACAAAAAAATGAAATACCGTTAATTTTTTAAGTAAAACATACTTGGGCTGTGAAATGGGCTATTAGTGGCGAGCACCTCATATACGATACATGAGATCAATACTGAGTAGGGAAGGTACTTATAGAATCTTGTTTCATTAGTAATCGTTTACATAACCACATATATATTTCGATTTTCATTCATTATCGTTACATTTACTATGACCTAAAAGTAAATTCATGATTATGACGATTGCGGCAATGAGCTTGTCCGTACACGGTCGACATTGTTTGATAACAATATTTGTTAACTGATGTTATTAGCTCTAGATGCGTACTCATATACTATGTATGTATATAAATAATATGACCTCACGAAATTATGCTCCTTAAACTATGTAGACTCAAACCATAATGCTCCTGAATATATAGATAATATCGCGCCAAACTTGAATGCGCATATCGCGTCACCGCGCCATCTGCTACCTGCTTTTAGAAGTCCCTTGGAACGATAAGCAAATATGTAATACTGCTTACCACCCCGTGACGCAAGGCCAGTACGACCGATAGGTACGCCATCAATCTGCCGAAAATATTTTTCTTTTTTCAGGGTAAATGTACGGGGAAACGTATGGTGTGCGAAATATGCAATCGAAGTATACAGGGTGGCAGCTCAGTTTTTTTTTTTGGAAAAACGCTCAGACCCGTCGATTTTGTTTTCGATGGGGACACAAGTTTGGCAAAAAATCACGGTAACACGTGCAGCCCTCTGGGCAGGGGTGTCACCAACCCTAAAATCTTAAATGGAATGGGGGGTCGAGCGATACCTTATTTTAAAGGTATTTCAATTCCCTTTATAATGATGTAAAATACAGGAGCTTCAGTTCAGTAGTTTTAAAGATTTATTGATTTAAAGCTTAAGGTAGACTTTAATAGGAACATCAGATTAGTTTGTACTAATTTCAGAAGAAATTTGACTAAAAGAATTTACTTAATAAGTAAATGCTTTTCTTCACTACGTGCGTGGTTTGTTTATCATTTTGTTGTTGAAAATAGCTATTGGAGCTTTTTTTGTTGTGGCAAAAAAGTTATTTGTTGGAGAAATATAAGGAAATATCTCGTACTTATTTTACATAGGAATTTAGTACATAGTTTGCGATTGATTTGACCAAACTTTGTTGCTAAAATAACTTGTAACGCTTTATTACATAAATTAACCATGGTATATTCCTCAGCAGAAAGAGTTGAAATTATCGAAATATTTTTCTGAAATAATCAGTGCGCTAATAGAACACCAGAAATATTTAATGAGAACAGTAACGTGCATCGAAAATATGTTCTAAAACTTGTAGCTAAATTTCGGGAAACTGTGTCAGTAAATAAAAAACGCAACATTGAAAATCCCATAAGGAACGAAGCAATAGAAGTGGGGGTTTTAGGGCAAGTTTATGTAGATCCTACGTTAAGTACCCGCAAATTGGAGACTGTGTGTGGTGTTAGTCGACGTACTGTCCAACGGATTCTAAAGACCCATAGTTTTCATCCATATAAAATTCACCTGGTACAAGAACTTAATGAAGACGATTTTGATCGGCGATTACAATTTTGTGAAGATATGAGTGAACGAATTATAAACGAAGAACATTTTCTATTCAACACTTGCTTTCCCGACGAATGTTCCTTTTTCTTAAATGGCGTAGTAAATGGTCATAACTGCCGATATTGGTCCGATTCTAATCCCAGAATTTATCATGAGGATCATACACAGCAGCCACAAAAATTAAATGTTTGGGCGGGTACTCTTGGCGATTATTTAGTTGGTCCTTTTTTCTTAACTGGAAATTTGACCGGTGAAATGTATTTGGAATTACTGGAAGACGCCATAGATCCTGCATTAACAGCCATAACTGAAAATCAGAATGATCGGCGGTACATTGCGAATAGGTTGATGTTCCAACAGGATGGTGCCCCACCACATTACGCATTACGTGTTCGATAATATTTAGATGAGACGTTTCCAGATCGATGGATTGGTAGAAGAGGTGCCATTAAATGGCCCCCAAGATCGCCAGATTTATCACCTTTGGATTTCTTTATGTGGGGTCATTTAAAAAGCAAAATCTATAGTACTCAGCCAACATCATTAAAAGGCTTGCGACAAAGAATTGTGAATGAGTGCCTTCAAATTACTCCTCAAATATTGCAAAATGTGCGGCAACGTTTTGAGCAAAATCTTTATTATTGCATGGAGAGTCATGGTGGCCATTTTCAACATTTACTTGCCTAACGGGTCAGTTCATTCTTCATTTTTAAATTACTTTGCTGCCAAATGTATTGATCTCCACTAATGATGATGTATTAGTTTTATTTAAGCTTTAAATCAATAAATCTTCAAAACTACTGAACTGAAGTACATTAATTTTATATCATTATAAAGGAAATTGAAAGACCTTTAAAATAGGGTATCACTCGACCCCCCTTTCCATTTAAGATTTTGGGGGTGGTGTCACCCCCTCTTAGGGGGCTGCACGTGCTAACGTGATTTTTTTGACAAACTTGAGTCCCCCTCGAAAACAAAATCGACGGGTCTGAGCGTTTTTCAAAAAAAAAACTAAGCTGCCAGTAAATGCGTCTGTTTCGTTTTCGTTGTGCCACCCTGTATATTAAAGCCCAACGCAGCCCGAGAGTTTACGAATGACGATGGTATATTTCGACCAAACCTTTTTTGGCCGAAT